CCCCCCAGCCACCCTGGGGAGGGCAGGCTCTGCCGCCGGACCTGCCGCCTGGGCACTGAAACTGTCCCGGCACACGGCAATCACGTGGCTGGAGCAAGCCATGAAAGGTTGAGTCTTTCCCCTATGAGCTGGGCTTTTCCTGAGGCAGGTTGGTCCTGTGCGCTGGAGGGGAATTTGAAAGAGAAAGGTCTGATAGGGAGCAAAGTCCCAGAAAGGCCAAATGCTGCACTGTGCTCTCCATCGAGCGGCCCCGTGTTTGGGAGGAAGCTGCTGGCAGGCGTGAGGAGATGTAAATGCCTGTGTTTGGACCCCATTTCATGGCTGTAATACCGGAGATGTGGGTTTGAAAACACAAATGAACATTTTTACAAGATAATTGTGTCCTGTTTATGCAGGACTGCTGGAAGTAGAGGAAACTCTGACCACTACCTGTCCTGGGGCACACTGGTGCTCTTAAGGGCCTGCAAACATGCCCCGGAGGTACCTGGTTTCAAAGCTCTGCCCTAAACCCTGGGAGGGCCAGAGGCTGGCAGTGCTGCGTGTCCCCTCCCCACCCTGCATTTCCACCCTCAGCTCTTTGAGTTGTGTGTGCTGAGCTGCTGATGGCCAAAATATGAACTGCTGAAGTCTGGGGAAGAAAATCAGCATTGCAGAAGCGTTGGGGTTGGAAGGGACCTCTGGACGGCTGTGGCTCAACCCCTGCTCAAAGCTGGACTAACTTTAAAGTTGGCTGAGTTGGCTCAGGACCAGTCCTGCTGAGTTTTGAACACCTCCCAGGCTGGAGATTTCTCAGCCTCTCTGGGTGCCTGGTCCAGGGCTTGGTCACTCAGGGCGAGTGAAGTTTTCCCTTGCTTCATCTTGTGCCTGTTCTCTCTTGTCCTTTTCCTGCATGCACCCGTCAGGTAGCCAAGGGCAGCAATTAGATCCTTCCCTCCCTTTCTCTCCTTCAGGCTGTGCAATCCCACCTCCTGCAGCCTCGCCGCGTCTCTCAGTTCGAGATATTTTTGGCAGGAATAAATGGGACTTTGCTTCAGCCATGTTACAGTCAACAAGGTGACTGGAGTCTGCTCGGTGAGAAATAGCAGCACTCTGCTAGGGCGAGTCTAAGGCAACGTTTCTTGGAGGTAAAGCACTTCGAGGAGCGAGGAAGTCACCCAAATGTGTCTGAAAATGTAATTTCTGACTAATTGCTGTTTGTTCCCCCAAGGGGCAGCCAGGCGTTAACAAACAGATCTCGCTAAATGTTTTTTCATCGCCTGGCACTCGCACACAAGCAGACCAGCAGAAAGGTCCAGCCTGGCTGTTGAAACCAGTACAACCACTCTGTCCTTGCAGCCAGGTTTCCCGGTGATGGTCTCCGTAGCAGGTCACAGCAGCAGCTGCCTGGGTGCAGCTCCTCTGCAGTTGAAGTGTTGCTGTGTTGTTGAATCCCCTCCCTGGGGGGCAATAAGTCAACAGCTAATTTTTTTTTTTTTAGCATTTCTTTAACAAAATCTTCTTCCAAAAAAGAGCTTTTGGAGATGTATTTCTTTGCCACTTCAGCTTTCGGTGAGGTGTTTTTATGCAGGAGAAAGGCCATGGCAGGGGGGGCAGGGACTGCCCCGAGCGGGGTTTGCCCACCCCTGCCCCTGGAAACAAGCATGGTCCAGCCTTGGTTCTTCTGCCGCTACTCTCTTGGCTGCCCGCTGAGGGTTTCTAGGAGAAAATTGAGAAATGCTGAGGCCAGGGGTATCGGGATGGTTTGATTATGGGAGATTTCTGTTTCTGTGCCAGACCCAGCCCTTGCACTTCTCCAAGCCAGGACTGTCTGTGGCACTTTGCGAAGGCGGCACTGCCACGTGTCCCCGGGGCAGGCAGGAACCGCATCGCTGCGGGCAGGGTCCCTGCGGGAGCCTTCACGGAGAAGACCTGAAAGAGACCTGAGGGGTCCAGAGGGCTTCGCTTACGAAGTGCTTGAGCCTTG